CAGACCAACATGGCTACTTACCTGAGTTTAAAACAAGTCAGTATAAGAGCTAATGGCTACAAACGGACCATTAACACATTCTAGGTTAGAAAACTAGGTGTTTTTAAATTATAAACATTATTAATATTATGGAATTGTTCCAACAACCGTTCATTGAAGACCAATAACTCGGTTGGAGTATAAAATAGCATTGGACACATTTAAGAAGAATCTTCTCATTTTAATTCTAGAAGCCCAGTGTCAGGGAACTGACATCAGAGACACGGGAGAAGGAGAGGGTCTCAGATTCTGCAGGTGAAGGTCCTAGCACAAGGGGGAGACTCAGCTTGGTGGAAGGGGAAGGAAATACGCGTGACACCAAGAGTCCAGGAGAGCAAGGGGAAGAGGAGGTGGAAGGGCTCCGGGATTCTTCCCTGGAAGTCAGTGAAGAGAGCCCAAGCACTCCACTACCCACACCCACCCTGCGCAGGAGACTCCCGCGCAATGAGAGGCGGAGACGATTAGGTGTCAAACAGCTTTTATGCTGGCAAAGGTTTAAGAAACGCCCACAGACAGATTCTGCCAGTGACTGAGGCAGTCAAGCGGAGATGGGCTGCACAGTCCGAAGGATTTAACCAGGCAACCAAGCACCCAAACGGGGTCGGCTTACGCACGAGTAACTCCAAACCACTACACCCAGGAGTCAGGTTTCCCGTAACTTATGGATCTCTCCCCTAGAGTATCAGTACGGGTTTTGCTCAGATCTGAACTAATAGCTAAAATTACAACTTGGGGCAAAAAATATCCCCAACCACCCAGTAATATTAGCTGGTAGCACTGGGGGTTTGTTTGCATTTCATGCAGCATGTAACTTGAGTCACTTGCTTTTTGGTATGCAAAACCCCGACTACCGCTTTCCTATGATCTAAACTATGTGAGCATATTTACATAGGGGGTGTGTGTGCTATTTTGCAACAGGGGGTTGTTATTTATAGCCTTTGTGTCCCTACTGCTCTATAATTTTATGTGCCAACCTTGGATGGGTTTTCTTCTCTTTACACTGCTGCTTCCATAGCATTACTCTATTCAGTTCATTAAAATATACATTATTGTTATTACATAATGCCTGTAGCTCAGCCAGATGCTACATCGGCTGGGTCCTTGGGTAGTGGGCCGTGGTGAGGACAGTTATGCTCTTCGGCCTATCACTGGTGGCAAGGTGGATGTTGACTCTAGGTAGCCCACTCAGACGCTTTGATGAGGAACCTGTCCATGTCATCCTTGATAACCAGGAGGTCCATTCCCAATCAAGGGAGTCCAAGATAAGTCTGTCCCCCCACTGAGCAGCGATCCTGCTGACACGTCCTTGAACTTCTCACTCTTCTTCTTGGTGGCAAAATAGGTGATACATAGATATATTTGTTTTGTGGCAAAGAAACAAATCAGTTCTGGTATGTTTCTTCATTATAGAGCTGGAATTTGGAATGCAACAGGCTGTATTTCCCAGGCCTCCATAAGCATTTCCATATAAAGGATTAAGTCGTTTCCTTCTTGTCAGAATAACCTACAATTTGCAGCCCACTAGATTTGCAGCCCACTAGAGCTGAGCAAGGGACGCGGGTGGCGCTGTGGGTAAAACCTCAGTGCCTAGGACTTGCCGATCGTATGGTCGGCGGTTCGAATCCCCGCGGCGGGGTGAGCTCCCGTCGTTCGGTCCCAGCTCCTGCCCACCTAGCAGTTCGAAAGCACTCTTAAGTGCAAGTAGATAAATAGGGACCACTTTATAGCGGGAAGGTAAACGGCGTTTCCGTGTGCTGCACTGGTGCTGGCTCGCCAGCTGCAGCTTCGTCACGATGGCCACGTGACCCGGAAGTGTCTTCGGACGGCACCGGCTCACGGCCTCTAGAGCGAGATGAGCACGCAACCCCAGAGTTGGACACGACTGGCCCGTACGGGCAGGGGTACCTTTAACTTTACCTTAGAGCTGAGGACTGTTGGCAATCTCCAAGTGCTGTGTGGATGGCCTGGCATATTTTTTTTTGCACCTGCAGTGTGGTTTGGGTACTGCCACTCCAAATCCCCTTCTCCTCCTGCTGTGGTTTCCCTGTTTTCAAGATGCAGCCTGACGTTTATGCCACCTGGACGAAACCCTGCAGCTCCTGTGCACAGAGTAGCAGGTGATGGTGGGCAGCTTGAGAAAGAGAGCCACAGCACAGCAGGTCCACACAGGAGCCAGGCTGGCACTCACCATGCTTCTGCTGCTGCTGCCATGCACCTGGCTGAAGGGTACAAGCAGATGGTCTGCAGAGCTACAGCCCTGTCTGGGAAGGCATATACCCCAGCCAGGTCTCCCTGCAAGGAGGAGTGCTCTTCCTTTTGACTTAGTCGAGCTGCTGCCTTCTCTTCCAGCTCCTCCAAAGCGTCTCACAGGGTTTCCTTATGCAAAGAAGTTGCAAGCAGGAGGGGCCTTTTCTGCGGTGGCACTTCTTCCCACATCAGAAGGGCCTTAATGTCTAAGCTTCAGGGGTGACACTCTGAGTTCAGCACACCCTGCAGAGGAGAGCAGGAAGAAGCCTGCTTGGCAAATGCTTCTTCCTTTCTCATTCTCTCCGTGGGAAACGTGCTGGAGCCTGACACGGAATCAGAGAGGGTCTGAGGAAAGTCTTACTTTCCCTTGAGGAGATCCAGCTCCTCGCCTAGCCTGGCCTTCCTTTCCTCTTCCCATCTGACTGAAGTTCTGGGAGAGATTAGAATCACTTTCTCCCTCAGGGCTGGAGACACCGAGAGGCAAACCTGCCCCAATATGCCCAGTCAAGAGGGGGAGGAAGGACATGACAGCTTCTGCCCGCCTTTCGCCTCTGACACATATGGCAGACCAGATAAGGAATTTATACACAGCAGCAGTTTGTTTCTACAGTTATTAGGTGATTGAAGTCTTGAATATAGAACATCTACAGACAAGAGGACTTAGTACCACTGCAGTATTTCATTGGCAGGAAGTAGTAGAATAAAATTGAGTACTTTATTATACATTCCACTATATGACAACTAAACAGAACTGTCCTGCTTGTGGAAAAAGAACTATACAATCTGTAAGCTCTATCACTTTTAACACCAACTTGCTTGGGAAAAAGATATTTGGATGCTAGTTCCTGCTTCTGCAGAGCTGACCACTTTTGTCATTGTTTTCATTCTAAGTGTGTAGTTCTTAGTGGGTCTATTGTATGTTAATAAATGTTGTCAAGGATTCTGAGGACTGTACTTAAGAAGTGGAACATTAGCTTCAAAAGAAGCCACTGCTAGGAGGTAGAATTCATGCCACTCAAGCATCAAATGCCTGAGAATACTTAAACTAAGAATTCTACTAGTCTTGCATTCATACATGATCCCCAGGGCAAGGCTGAATCTATAAAACTGCAACAAAGCTCAAGGCTCACTTTAATGTCATTTGATGAGAAAAAAACAGGTTGCTATAACTGTAGTTCTTTGCGTGGTCGTCTGTGCAGTCCGTCATATTGAGGATTTGTGCCTGCACTGCACATTATTTGGGAACTTCTAGAGCTCAGAAGAACCTTGAGGCCCCTGCCCTCGGTCAGGGAAACCCCATGGTTCTGCAAAAATCAATGGCAGGAGTCAGCACACTTTCCTGAGGGTAGACCATGTAATTGTACATATGACCACTTGTAGAACCAGTTACAGGTACACAATTTGTTTTCTACTTTGTGCAGTCACACATATGGAAGACCACAAGACAGAGTGGGCCTTTTCTGTGGTGGCTCCACACCTTTAGAACACCTTCCCAGTAGTGCTGTAGTAAGAGGGCTACATTCCAGGTTGTTTTGATTTGCCTTGCCTAAGTCTTGTTTTGTCCTGCTTGTTGGACACTATGTTGCTGGCGGTAGTCAGCCTTGTGAATCTGTTTTCTTCTTGTTTCTTTTTATATTGCTGTAAGCTGTGTTGGATGGCCGTTGCCTAGAAAATTAACATTTTTTTAAAAAAAAATAACTACCACCACCATAGTTGTGGTTGCTGAGGCAGTACACAGCAATGCTGCATAATTAGAGGAGTCTTTGGGCCTGTCATCCCCTTCAGGTTAACTGGGAAAACCCTAAGAAAGTAGTATTCTTCCTTCCATTGTCACCCAGTTATACATCCAAACAACTCTTGTGCTTGTTTTTCCCTCTTGTATACTTTAATTGCTGGCTTTTAGTTTTCCTGCATATCATGGTCTCCAGTTAGGACCACAGTTGTTTGTTCTATATTATATCCTTATCCTTATCCTGCTCTGCACATTCACCAGTACTAATTTATTACCATGTACCTCTTTGCATATGCAGAAGTTCAAAGATGTAGAGGTAGGTAGAGTAACAATTGGCTTTCCCCCCCCCTGCAACTTCCACATCAGAAAACCCTTCTCACATGCCTCTTTCCTCACCACATGCAAAGGCCCTGTTTGCTGCTAGGCAACATAATCATTCAGTAGCACTGGAATAATTGTTATTGCTAGGGGAAGAATGACACAGATCACTCTGAGAAGAAAAACGGAATTGATATACTTGACTCAAAACTGGTCAGCCTTCCTGTAACTCTTAAGAAGCACAGGTATTTGAGGGTATTTCTTGAAGTGGATGGTCACAGAGGTACCAAATCTACCCTCTTAGCTTCCATCTGCTCAGATTTTTCAAACAGTACATCTCCTACTTGCACAGACAAAAGTAATTTAGGAGAAGGTGGAAAAGCCATGTAGACACAGACAAATGGAACAATATTTATAGTTAGACTGCTGGAGTTAAGTGGAATATGTAGCAAAGTTCCTGTGATTAAGAAATTGAAATAAACCAATCCATGCTCCTAGCAGTCATTCATGTGTGCTATAGACAAAGCTTCTGCTTTGAAACCTGACTTTGGATGTAAATTTGTTTTCCCTGGCTATTCCCCAAATGTCAATCCATTTATATACAAGAAGGCAAACTGGAATTACATTATCCAAGACTTACAAGAAACCTCCACATTTTGATTACCTGTGAATGTTATCTTCACCAGAAGGAACCACACCAAGGTTTGCTACGCTTACCACCTTCTGCAATATTACAAGACGAGTGGAATTTTGTGGTGCAACAGTGACTGTAGTGGATGTTTCATTCATACCAGTCAACCTTCCTGAAACAGTGAAACATAAAAACCATGGATTCATGTGGTTAATATCATAAAGAAAATTTAAAGCAACACTGACATATTAGCCCATATACCTGGTGCTAAATGTTTAAGGTTTGTCTTAATAAGGATTTCTGAGTGCCTTATGGGAACAGATGATAAATACCTAGTCAACTAACTATAATTTTTAAACTGCATATTCATGAGGATGTAGTAAGGCATTTTCATATAATTCCAAAAACTAAATGCTTATGCAGTATAACTGAATGATTGTGTGTGTGTGTGTGTGTGTGTGCATATACACTACATATACACATCATATACACATACAATCACTAATATATAGAGATCTCAAAAGAGAAAACAGCATGCTTATTAACAACACCCATAAGTTCAATATTTACTGTAAATAAGATCACAACAGTTACTAGCCTGCAAAAAAGATAACCATCGAATTGTAGAGTTGGAAGGGACCACAAGGGATATATCATCCAACTCCATGCAATGCAGGAATCTTTTCCCCAAGGAAATAAACAACTACCTGACTTTTAGAAGACATCTGAAGGCAACCCTTCAGATTATTTTGTTGGGAGCCGCCCAGAGTGGCTGGGGAAACCCAGCCAGATGGGCGGGGTATAAATATTATTCTATCGATTGAGCTAAATGTACTAGTTTGCTATGGGTTGGCGGAAAAAAGCTAGAGAGCTGCACTTCTACACTGGACATACTACAGAGAGTTTCCCACCTCTAGCAGCTTACTTGAATTCTTTCCTGGGTACTTCCTTCTTCCCTTTGGCTAGTCTAGCATATTAGACTACAGTGGTGCCCCGCAAGACGAAATTAATTCGTTCCGCAATTTTTGTCGTCTAGCGAATTTTTCGTTCTTGCGAAGCACGGTTTCCCATAGGAATGCATTGAAAATCAATTAATGCGTTCCTAGGGAAACCGCTTGCCAGGCTGGCGGTGCGGAGAAGGGCTTTTCTCCCCACCGCAAGCCTTCAGCACAGGTACGGGAACAGAGGGGAAGGCGCGCAGCGCTTTCCCTCTGTTCCCGGGGCTTGCGTGGGAGGAGGGTTTTTCCTCCCCACCGCCAACATTCAGAACAGCATTCTGAATGTTGGCGGTGGGAAGGAAAACCCTTCTCCCACCCCAAGTCTTCAGGACAGCCATCCGAAGGCTGGCGCGGGGAGAAGGTCTCTCCGCCCCCCCCCACGCCAGGCTTCGGTGCATCCTTCAGAGGCTGCTGCCATAGTCACGCGTCACTTCTCCAGCTGGGAGAGGGTCGCGGGGCTATGGTTTCTTTAGCCCCGCGCGCGCTCTCCCGGCTGGAGAGGTGACGGGCGCCTATGGAGGTTCCTGCCATATGCGCGCGTCACAACTCCAGCTGGGAGAGGGTCGCGGGGGGCTGGTTTAGCCCCGCGCGCGCTCTCCTGGCTGGAGAGGTGACGGGCGCCTATGGAGGCTCCTGCCATAGGCGCGCGTCACTTCTCCAGCTGGGAGAGGGTCGCGGGGGGCTGGTTTAGCCCCGCGCGCGCTCTCCCGGCTGGAGAGGTGACGGGCGCCTATGGAGGCTCCTGCCATAGGCGCGCGTCACTTCTCCAGCTGGGAGAGGGTCGCGGGGGCTGGTTTAGCCCCGCGCGCGCTCTCCTGGCTGGAGAGGTGACGGGCGCCTATGGAGGTTCCTATGGAGCTGTTCCTGGAACAGCTTTCCGAAGTGGGGCGGCTGGGGCAGATGTCCCCGCCCCCCCTCCCCGCTTCGGAACAGCTTTCCGAAGTGGGGCGGCTGGGGCAGGTGACCCCGCCCCCCGCCCCACTTCGGAACAGCTGCAAAAGACGTCAGGGGGAAGCGGGGAAGCGAAGCGCTTCGCTTCCCCGCTTCCCCCGACGTCTTTTGCAGCAAGGGGCTGCAGGGAGATCGCTATCTCCCCCCAGCCCCTTGCTTCAGAAGAGGTCCGGGGGAAGCGGGGAAGCGAAGCGCTTCGCTTCCCCGCTTCCCCCGACGTCTTTTGCAGCAAGGGGCTGCAGGGAGATCGCTATCTCCCCCATCCCCTTGCTTCAGAAGAGGTCCGGGGGAAGCGGGGAAGCGAAGCGCTTCGCTTCCCCGCTTCCCCCGACGTCTTTTGCAGCAAGGGGCTGCAGGGAGATCGCTATCTCCCCCCAGCCCCTTGCTTCAGAAGAGGTCCGGGGGAAGCGGGGAAGCGAAGCGCTTCGCTTCCCCGCTTCCCCCGGACGTCTTTTGCAGCAAGGGGCTGCAGGGAGATCGCTATCTCCCCGCAGCCCCTTGCTTCAAAAGAGAAGACCCGCTGTCCCCGGGGCAAGCTTCGTTTTGCGAAGCAAGCCCATAGGGGAATTCGTCTTGCGAGGCAAATCGCGGACGAAAAAACCTTTCGTCTAGCGAGTTTTTTGTCTTGCGAGGCGTTCGTCTTGCGGGGCACTACTGTAATTCATCACTTCCCACACCAACAGGAGTCATGATACAAATACACTAGAAGCGCCTATTCACAAGTTTACTTAAAAACAAAGATAATGACCTCCACTTAAAACAAGGATAAACACTAAAAGATGGCCATGCAGTCAATCTATTAGCACCACCCAAATACTCACTAGAAGAAATACGGGTCTGCCTGGTGTCGAAAAGACAATACTGTCAATGTCAGGCAAACCTTCCTGGGGAAAACATTCCATAAATGGAGGGCTACCACATTTATTATTGCCATTTGGCAGACATCTCTAGGAGGAGGCACACAAAGAAGGGCCTGAGATGTTAACATCAAGGTCCAGGTAAGTTCATTTGGAGAAAGACAGTCCTTGAAGTATTGGGGTTCTGAGCTGTAAAAGCCTTTATACTCACTCACATTCTTTATTATGGTCCAAAGACCCACAAAAACCATTTTGAAAGCAAAGTGCATTAAAAATACAGAAAAGACACAACAACAACAACAACAACAACAACAACAACAACAACAACAACAACAAATTTATTATTTATACCCCGCCCATCTGTCTCGGTTTCCCCAGCCACTCTGGGCGGTTTCCAACAGAATATTAAAATACTAGGCAGGCATTGTGTTTTATCAAAGACATGTTGATTTCTAATTCTTACTAGCTCCAAGAGAAATTTTCCCATGGTCAGGTTTATATCATTTTTCTTATCTTCAAGGAGATACTTGAGATAAAAGATAGCAGTGTTTCCAGGTAAATTTACCAATAAGGGCTTAATTAATTGGTTCCTGGCTCTACAAGCAAACTAGAACATTGAACTGGGCTCAGAAATGAATTGCTGACAGTGTAGTCAGCAAAGAACTAGTGTTACATGAACACAGTGCCTTGTTGTTGTTTAGTCGTTTAGTTGTATCTGACTATTCGTGACCCCATGGACCAGAGCACAGTGCCTAATTCTAGTCAATAGTATGGTTGCTAGCTTCTGCATTAGGTGGTTTCTGAACCATCTTCAAAGGAAGCCCAATGTTCAACTCACAAGCAACTGGCCATTGCCTAAATCTGCTTCTCAGTCTACCCATGCAAATGCTGGGAGATTTTCTGTGTGAGGGGCAGGACACACTATTTTTTAATTGTTTTTCTGCCCATGCTATAACCACTGGTTGTAGTAGGACATTGCCTTACAGAAGCTCCTGCCAAGTAAGCTAGAGGGCTAGACAGGCAAGGAGCTGACACATACATGCCCTGGAAGGATCAGAATAAGCATTACCCCAAAGGTCAGGATGATGTGCCCTGTCAGATAGGTAATAAACAAGTAATATTTTTGCACTAGAAATGGAACACGCTTCTTTGTAAGACTGCTATGGTGCTTAACCGGTTTTTGTAATTCTAAAGTAAATGAAGAAAACAGCCTACTCAAGGTTTATTTTAAACTGCATTTCACTTAACCATGAATATTACGTAGCTTTTTTTTAAAAAAAAATAATCTATCAACTTTAGCCGGGAACAGTACATGGTACTGCAGATGGTCTAAATTTTACATTAGGAAAATGCATTGAAAAAAGTACATAAGCAGTCTTGAGGCTGCTTTTAAGCAAAGCACAGGACTGACATAACACTGTTGAGAGATGTGTGTACTCATTAAGGATTTAAACCTTCTCCATTAAGCTCTATTGAAGAGCAAATGCTGAATAAATGAATGCAACTATGTTTATGTTAAAAGCCTGTTTCCCGCAGCATGTAATTAAAGGAAATGTTGTACAAAGCCAGTACTTTTGTCAAGCTCCTGTAAATGGAAAGATGGATAGCACTCAGAGAAGTGAATGCATTGCTTCATATTTAACCTTAACACTCTTGTCATTAATGGTTTGTCTAACTTGTTCTATAAAGACAAGGTACTGCTCCATTGAAGTAAAATTAAAAAAATCAACTAAACCATGCTTTTCAGAACAGAAGATTCATTATCGTTGACTAATGTATTGGCATAAAGCAAAGTAACATCCTATCAAGTAAAGCACACATTCAATCTGCCTTACCACCCCCCCTTTTATTTTTAACTCATGCTGTTTTATTGTTATAGGCAATTTGTACCACTCAGCATGACAGTGTAAACTGAATCAAGATTAATTTACATGCAAAAGAACACTTAGCATGGTAAGCAAATGTATTGTCTCGATTGCTGAGGTGGAAAAGAACCTGAAAAGAAAAAAAAGGTGCTCTAATTAAGGGGCATCAAATATGATTGCTTGTGGTAGTTAAGGGCCAGAAAATTGTGAATGTCTGACCATTTAAAGAATTAGCACCTTGCTTGTTGGGAGGACAGAAAATGTTGCAAACATAAATCTCGATAAAATCAAGTAAACAATTTGAGAGATTCTTTTTATTTTTTAAAAGACATGGCTTTTCCGAATTAAACTCTATTGGGTATACTTAAAGTTGCCAGTTTAACTTTACTAAAATTGTAGTCTTTGGGGAGAAATCTAGAAGAGGAAATTATTGGAAACTTAAGATTTCAGAAACCTATTAATATCCAAAAGCTGAACTAAAGCAGAATGAGCTTGACATTTTAAATTACTATAGTACTTTTATGAAATGTTTATCTTTCAGAAATATTAGGTGAAGTCTAATGCTGTCCACGTGTGAGTGGAGCAGATTTCCACTTGTGCAATGAAGAAGAGTTTGGACTTGGACTTGATATCCTGCCTTTCACTCCCCTTAAGGAGTCTCAAAGCAGTTAGCAATCTCCTTTCCTTTCTTCCCAATGACAGTTCCCTTTCCCCTCCTTCTTCCTGCAGCCACCTATATGCCCCAAACTCTGCTTTGGAGAATCTCTGCAACAGATTTTGGGAATGTATAGAAGTTGGTTTCTGCTACAATGGGTTCATCCACTCAGTGTACCAAACTGATATTTTCGCACACATTTCCCTTATTTTCCCCCTAGGCTTAAATATCGAGCAATACATATCGATAACATTTGTTAACAGTAATGCTGCTTACTATTTTGTTTTTCTTTAAAGTAATGGCAGAACATTAACTGAGAGGAGTGGATGAACTCCTCTCAGTTAATGTTCTGCCATTACTTTAAAGAAAAACAAAATAGTAAGCAGCATTACTGTTAACAAATGTTATCGATATGTATTGCTCGATATTTAAGCCTAGGGGGAAAATAAGGGAAATGTGTGCGAAAATATCAGTTTGGTACACTGAGTTGAAACAGAAAAATCAAATAACCCCAGTTGCTGTTCTGAACTATGCTAGGTGGTTTGGGAATGAATTACACCAAAAGTGGTTTTTCCAGTTCAGAATTGAGATCCTACTGAAACAGAATGGCAAGGCTTAGCATATCATGCACAGCATGCACATAAAAGCAGCTTTTCATCTTTTAGCGCTGCTTAGAAAACTTTAACAAGCATGAATATGCAGCACTTTGTTCCCCTGCTGCCTTTGCCCAGCTCTATTAGAAGAATGCAACAGCAAACATCATAATGGAAATATATATTTTTCTTGGTACTGTAAAAATTCTATACCTTTATCATTGATTTTCAGAAATCAATACATGCTTTTAGTTTCTAATATTTAGTTCCTAATATTTAAAAAGTTATTCTATTTCTACTTTTTAAAATCCTCATTCCCCCCCCCTTTTAAAGTATTTCTAGACGTGAAGGTTTGCGGCATTTCACAAAGGAAAGAAAACTCTGGACGATAATAGTACTATTGAAGGAGATTAAGGCTACAATCTTAACCCCCCCCTTACCTCAGAATAAGCCCCAATGAATTGAACAGGACTTACTTCTAAGTAGACCTGGTTAGGTTTATACTGCAAGTTTGACTGACATGGGACAATTGCTCTTGGTAACTTTCCAAGCTGACCTGAATTTTATGCTTGACTTTACTAGTGAAAATTAAGAGGAAATTCAGTTGGCTTAGATATTAAGTGAATATTTAGTAACTGTTAAATTTCCCCCTCAAAATACTCTGTAAACTGTTATTTAATCTTGTTTAGAAAATACATAAAGCTGAGAATTGAGACTTCTATTATCATGAATTTTCTAAAACGGCTGAAACATTTAACTAAGATGATACTAAAGAAAAAGCCTTTTAAACCTATGGTAGATTTGCCAGCATCAGTCCTGCATCAAAGAATGAATTCAGGAAGACAGAAAGAGCAATACTGAAATGCCAAGAGACCTTCATGGATTTACAAATACTTCATATAAACAAATTTTCAAATAGCTTTATTCAGAGTAGCCTTTCTGCTCTATTAAACATAGCAAACAGCTGCCAGATTTATTCAGACAAATAATCAACAACCACAGAAGTAAAATGGCAGAAGAAAAAGGAATTTTGGCAACAACTCCACAGAGGACCACAGCTATTCTCAAAGTGCACTTCTTCTATGCACTCATGGTTCTGAATGGCCAGTCAGGAGGGGGGAGCTCTCAGTCACAGCTAAGCATACAAAACTCAATCAAAATACAAGCAAGCAAGCATACAACCAGAATGAGAAAGGGAGAGACAGAGTGCAATATCCAGATTTACTTAAAATTGCACTCCAAGATGATAGTTTAAGAGAAGGGGAGAAAAGTAGATCACAAAATATGACGAAGCCTCAAGTCACTCACTCACCTTGGTTTGCTGAGCACGTGCAAAGTAGGCTTTAGCCAGCAAAGAGTAAGAACAGCAAATAGTTAGGAACTAGTTAAGGGAGAAAATAACTGACCTTTTTTTTTTATCATAGGACACAACTACACGGAAAAAAAGGAAATCAAATAGTTGTGAAGGCTATCATTATTTCTAGACGAAAGACACAGAGAAGAAGACCCACAAAACTGCTTATTAAACATTTATATTAAATATATATCATATTCACGTGTTTTGGGCGGCTGTAATAAATACACATGGATTTTTTAAACTTTCTAGAACAGAATGAAAGGACTGATTAATGCAAATTCCAATATGAGAAGACACAATGGAATCTAAAGGTCAGAGACTGTCCAGGTGAGCTTATAAATAAACCAAAAAGCACTTTTCTGTTTGGCTTCTTTAAACACAATACCAAATAAAACCTTTTGCAAAAAGAATTTGTAGTACAGGAAAGTCCTTCATATATATTTGATGTGATGCCATACAAAAAGCCTGCGAGTTATGAGACAGGCAGAGCAACTCTGTTATGTGATTGTGCATAAGAACAGAGTCTATGATGGAGCAACAGCAAAATCCAAAGCTCTGCTGGCTAGCTGTGGGTGGGGGAACACCTAACAAACAGAGCCACATAACTACGCCAACAACAGAGCTAGTGCAGCTTTGTGGCCTCTGTGGATGTGCGGGGCGGAGGCAGAGGTTAGGATATGCACATTCCTTGTCTTCTCCTATAGAACTCATTTTGGCCCTCACTGCCCATTATCAAGGAAGGGCACCGAGCTTTTTGGCTTTGCACTATGGAGACTTCTGACAGTGGGTCAGACTTTCTGCTGCATCCTATGCAGTTCAGCCATACTTTTGGTGAACACAGAATTGCTCCATTCTATATTTTTAAAAGTGCGACAAAAAATGTGGGTGCCAACTAAGTAGCTAAGCCATACTTCTTTTGAAACTGAAGAGATTAAGGCTAAATAATGCTGTAAGAAGTAGGTCACACTAATGAATTTTAATGGAGTAGGGACAAAGTATACTAGCTATATACAAGCAAAAGCTTTAGAAAGAGGACTGGAAATATAAAGAAAAATATGTTGGAATTGTTTTTCTGAGTTACACCAGTATTCCAATCACTAGGACTAATATGAAATGTCCAAGCGCATAGGAAGCCATAGTTTGGTTAACTAGATATATTTATTGCTTCACACAACAAGGAGTCCTAAATTAAAAAAAAATACACTACAGTGGTACCTCTGGTTGCGAACGGGATCCATTCTGGAGGCCCATTCACAACATGAAAAGAACACAACCCACAGCGGTGCTTCTGCGCATGCACGAGCAGCGAAACCCGGAAGTAACCCTTTCCGGTACTTCCGGGTCACCGCGGGACGTAACCTGAAAGAATGTAACATGTAGCGGACGTAACATGAGATATGACTGTACAGTGGTACCTCAGGTTACATACGCTTCAGGTTACATATGCTTCAGGTTACAGACTCCACTAACCCAGAAATAATGCTTCAGGTTAAGAACTTTGCTTCAGGGTGAGAACAGAAATTGTGCTCTGGCGGCGCGGCAGCAGTAGGAGGCCCCTTAAGCTAAAGTGGTGCTTCAGGTTAAGAACAGTTGCAGGTTAAGAATGGACCTCCGGAACGAATTAAGTACTTAACCTGAGGTACCACTGTATATGGTACAATAGCCATTAAAACAGTACATGTATACTCAAAAGAATCACCTAGATAAGCAAAATACACACACAGTGGTTATGGCCTAATCATGAGGTGTTGTTTTTTTTAAAAAAGTTTCAATCAGTTTCTTAGTACCAGTGCAATATGAAATGAGTGTTACTTAGGAGGGCAGTCAACAGAAATCTTGGGGTTAGACCAGAAAAATATGTTCTCATTTAGAACAGTATGATTTTACTGCATTTGCAAAAAGGTCCAGAACATCCATCTTATTTTAATTTTTTTCCTTACCTCGTTCTCTCTTAAAGTCTTTTTCTGACATAGTAACTGGTAAAAGTAGTTCTCCAACAGGGGGTTGAATATTAATACTGAACTGATCATCTTTTGTACTGTGGAAAAAACCAGAAAGGTAAATGAATGGTTTAGTAAGATAAAACGCTTGTCTTATCAGTAAAGAAATAAGGAACAATTTATATAATGACCAGTCTTCACCCGCACCAAAAAACCAGCCACCCAAATTTTAAATATTCAGCAGAATCCATACCTAGGATGTTCATTGTTTTCACCTCTGATTACGTCATTCCACAGCACACAGAATGGCTACATCTGTGTTCCAACTATGATAAAGTGGTAAAACTTCTATATTCCCTAAATTACTGTGCCCCAGAACCAGTGCCTTTTTTTCTGGCAGTACGCAGTACCAGCACCATTTTTCTAGAAAAAAGCACTGGTGCTGGAGTGCCTTCTTCCTCCTTCCAGACCTCTGTGAGACATGGGGTAAGGGCTGAAGTTTAGAAGTGGCCAGGCAGGCCCTTCACCAGCGCCCTCCGGGCCCTGAGGTAAAGTGTGTGTGTAACAAAGCTCTCGTAACTTGCTACCACCAGCGCTAGTTGCTTGGTAACTGTGCACAACCACTTTAAGCCGCCAGAGAGCAGGATGGAGATGAAGGAACCCCTCCCACCCCACCCCCCCCGCTTGGGTCCCTGCTCATTTTCACTGCCACTGCCACTTTTACCACACCAAGCATCAATCTGTTTCTATGCCAAAAAAGGTAGGATTGTGTGTTCTTTTTGAAGGCCAAAAATCATATTGTTACCACCTTCATACAGAGAAATATGCAGTGGTTTTGTAGATCTGAAATAAAGCATGGAAAACTTCAAGAAAATAAAGGGGTGGTATTGGTCATGTGTAAGGTGAACATCTTTCTAAGCGTGCTAAATAAGTGTTAGGTCCAATCTTCAAGTTAAGGATTCTCTCTTTACTATCTTTAATTAGATGTATTTCTTGGAAAGCTTTGCTTAATAAAAATAGTGCTTACCAAGGAGTTCTTCCAGGAGCTTTTAATTCTTTATTAGAGTTTTGCATCATTTATATAAGGAACTATTTTAAAACTCCTAAATGTTTTATTACCAATTTTTACCTTTCCTTTATATAATTTGCTTTTACTGAATCGCTTGCTCCGGTACATTACAAGAATAGCAAATTTTGCTATGCAAATCACAGTCAATGATTGGCATCTAAACCAATTGATCTACCCATTACCACTATCTGCCTTCCCACACAAGCCTTACTACAAAGCTATTGATTTAAACAGTGCCGATCGGTTTCCATTTTCTGATTTTGGGCAGGCTAATTAAGAAAGTGAGTAATTGTGATTACATTGCTTCAGGATCAATTACATTTGATGTAAGACAAAGTACTCCTTTTGGAACAATGTAAGGGAAATAATTATAATCAGAAATGGTTTATGGGGGTGAACCCTTTCATAACAATACAGCCAACACCACACATACTTTTATTATTCTGCGGGCTTAACATATTTAAAACAAATAATATATAAAATGATTTTAATAGAATCAGTAAGTTTAGTTTACATAGGTAAACTATGTTCTATTAGATAGTGTAAGAGAAAAAGGTAAACATTATTTTTGCAGGGGAACTGGTGTGGATTGCCATCTTTGACAATCACACAGAGAATACAGGAAACTGGCATCGAAGGGCAGCACAATGCAATGGCTGCTAGAATGGATTTGGAATGGAGAGGTTTTTATTGAGAACTTGCACTTCAGTCTTGCGATGTCACAGGGGCTAGAGTGCTAGGCAATGAAAGTATCTCAGAACCCTCTGACACTGAGGAGTGTCAAGATTCAGCCCTGCCCCAAACTTGAACCTGAGGTCTCCACTGGTTCTCCACACTAGCAGTGACCATGAAGATATCTGTGCCCCAGGACTGAAGTCTCACACTCCAGCTGCCGGAGTTCCTGGCTAGCTCTCGGACCCACCCACCCACCTTTCCTCAGGACCACAGCAGTAGAAGAGATGTGAGCCAGGCAGAAGCTTTAGAGCCACTGCAGAAATACCTAGTGAAAAGGAAGTGGATGGAAGCACCTCCTTGGACCAGGGCCGCCTGGCTCAGAGCCAGGAGGGGACGAAGCCTGCAGTTTCTATATAAGCTCCCAGTCTGAAGCAACAGCTGTAATCTGAGCTCCAGCTTTTTTGATGTGGGGAACTAGACAAAGTGGCAGTTGACCGGAAGAAACCTAGTGCCTTGCCCCTGTAATTTTGGGTGTCACTGACTGTTGTTTGAGGATCACCTTACCAGCTGGATTTGGGCTGAGAGACTGAGGTGGGTTGGTGCTGTTGGAGGCTGTATTCCTAGAATTTTAAGGATACAGTCCCAACCTCCTTTGAGTCCGTTCGCCTACTGGTGACGGACTGGCCCCATTTGTACATCCCATTTAGAAAGTGTGGGAGAAAAATATGTGTTATTTGGTACTCCTTAAAATATTCACCTAGCTAAAAGTTTAAAATCCAACCTCTTTTTAGCAACATAATTTTTCATTCATTTTAACTGTGTGTTTTAAAAAACCTTTAATTGAGTAGTAGAATAGCAACTATTTGGTTTCTTATTTCAACTCTAAACTTGGTGCTTAGCTTGAGCTGTGTCATTGGGTTCACATTGTCCAAATCATTAAAATGAATACACCACTGGTGTCTGAGGCAAATCTATTTACAGTGACGTTACTCATAGACCGGTGTTGAAGAATATTGATCTTTCTTGTTTGTCTAATAGGAAAATAATAAACAATTACTAGGCAATGTTGGAGAAAGTAATCAGTTTTTATATATCACTAATACAGCAGACCTCCCAAAACATAAAGGTGATGATCTGCATAAAATCAATGTGTTATGCTACATTGCTTATATTTATCACTGCAAAGAATCTCAAGCCTTCAGTGGCTTAAGTCTGGAACTGAACTATTAGTTTGCTGAGAGAGGGGCACTCAAAAGTGCACATACTTTATATAAAAACATTCTATGCAATATTCAATGCAAGATCAACATACTACAATGCCAAATCATGCCAGCCTTTAAAGATGCTCAAAAGCAGATCATGAATACTGTTATTATATCACTCATAAAAATGCTGCAGATAATTTTAATACCTTTTTGAATAATCTAAAACATGATAAAGGAACTATTGGATATTTTTTTAAAAAAATAAATACCATAAAATTCCACATGCAAGGAAGTATGAAGCCAATATCACTTTGTGGAACAGAAAAGTGAAATTACATCTACAGTATATGAACTTCAGCATGTTTACTTCCCAGATTTCCTTAGCTAGAACGTATGTTTGCTCTCTGACTATGGTTTATTTGTTGAAGCACCAGCAAATATCAGGTTAACTAGCCTGCTGAAATTACAGTAAAGAACTGTTGATGATCTTATGGAAGGCTAAGCAGGGAATCACACCAGCAAAAAATCTAATGGTATAATGAATGTTAAGCAAACACATATGACTCTAAGTCTACAAACTAATTGAGACTCATCCACTATCTTGTAGGGGGAGACCTGGTGTGTTTGGCTGCCTCCAGAACATGAGTGGCACTGCTGAATACAAAAGTAAGCCAGCTGAGATAGGTGGAAGGATGTCACAGGCCTACCAAATTGGTAAATCTGTGCCTGGACTGTGCTACTTCAGGCTTCAAATGGGAGGCTCTTGGAGAACAGCTCAAATCTGCACTGCTCCATGGTTTGACGTAGCGAGCCACCCAAACTCTCCTCAGCCACAATCTGTAACTGTAGGACAAACCTTGGTGAACAAGGGCAGGGTAACGGGCAAGTCTTGCCTTCAATTAAATTATGCCCTCAAAGCGGACATTTCATCATTCATTCTTATGGGGAAAGAGTAACCATTCACTGGTGCAAATGAATGTTAAAGGGGTACAACTCCGGGACATTATTGGGGAAAAGGCTAAATCTGTCCCCTGTTCCCAATATGGAAAACCTATTGCCAAAGCTTGTGATGCTGGTGTCAAGGAACAAGCTTTGTTTCTTCGTTACACATAAAATAAAGCTGCCTGTTCACCCACAGTACTCAGTGGAAACCACCTCAGTACAGAGATCCTTTTCTTGTTCACACTAGAAATGATACCAAAACACAGGCATGCAAATGTTAAGTGCTGAGCTTTTCAGAGGAGACCAAGCAGATACTTTTACATATGACTAGTCTGATATAATGGAGGTGCTCATTATTTTGTAAACCATTTTCTGTGGTAAGCAGAAACACTTCCTGAACTTCTTTTGTCTAAAGGGGTGGGATGTCTGGGGTGGTGGGCTTTACAGTAACCATGGTTCTTTAAGGTGACTGACTGCTGATTTCAGCCCCTGGATACTGACAAGCTATGACACTGTTGCCAATCTAAATATACTAGCAGCAAGAAAACAATGTATTAATTAAATTGTGCATTATGTAGTTATTTGGAGAGCCATACTATCAGTATAATTATTTCATTTATTAAATTTCTATTGTGTTTCTATAAAAACACAAAAATAGAACTTTTCCATCTCTGTATTAAGCATACTTAATAATAAACAATAATAAGACCCGCCTTAGCATAATGCGTTAATATTCAAACAGCACAACAGGACAAAAAATTTGTATTTTCTTCCATTCATTTCCCCTACACATTAATGATCTATTTTTGAAAAGCCACTGCAGCGTAACTTACCACAACTGGAAATTGGCAGCCTGGGTAGAATCACAAAAGTCAATCCCTACTGAGACTGTCATAGATTCCCCAGGTTCAAGAGATTCTATTGAAATAGAACATAAAGCAAAACATTGAAAAAGTTAGATAAATCAGTGCAACAACAAGGCTTTTGAAAACTTGTATTAGCTTTCTTTAACGTATTCCTTAAACATTTACTGACTTTGCAAAATTTTAGAACAAATATTTGCTTGGCTTTTGATCAAGTGTTAGTCATTGGAATGATGAAGAAAATAATTAGATAACGGGGACTGTTAACTGACCCTTTGGGGTTCTCTTCAGTGAGCTGCATGTAGATACATATTTATCAGTGTCAGAAATGACACTGGAGATATTGAGATAACCTTGGTAGGCTGTTACTTGAAAATTCTCTGCTATAATAAGTTAAGAACAAGAAATCTTATCAAACAATTATTCCAATTTACAGAAAATACCTGATTCAACTGTTGTAATGTATTTAACTTTGAGATTTAAGAACAATTTGCTTATTTGTCAGAGAAATTTAAAAGGATCAGTGAAGAGAATACCTTTGTTCCATCAATTTACTAGAAAACTATAGCAGCCTTTATTTACAATGTCAGAATATGTGTGCAATATATTACATGCAATAATATATTATAGTTATTGCATTAAAATACCCAAACATTTAAATCTTAACTAATGGGTAAGATTACTTTAACATGAAACATCACAGAACGTGTTTCTAGAAAAAGTGCTGTCCAAAATTTGTTTAGCTAAAACACACACACACATTACTATACTGATTATTTTGATCACAAAGTATGTTATCTTACTTTTAAATCTGATTCTCTTGAATTGCACTTTATCTTCCATGGTGCTTACTTGTTGTGTTTTTATATTTTTCCTGAATCCAGATTCTAACCACCAATATAGTTTCTTACTTCACTTTATATTTCACTGAAAGCTCTTCACAGAACTAAAGATTATTCGTCATATTACTCTATGATGTTCATTTCACTTACAACATATAGACTACACATTCTGGGTATGTATGAATGCACTGCTTTTTAATTAAACTGGCTTTACTCCATTCCTGCTTCTTAGGTCTGATTCATATATTTAAGGGAATAATTGTGTGCATGCTTGCACTGAAGTAAGTCTCACTAAATTCAACAGACCTTACACAAGTGTGATTAAGATTGTGGATTAATCAAGCAGTCTCCTCATAAGCATTGTGGGGAATAATGAACAGTCAATATAAGGCATAGCAATATGTGCAGAAAATTCTGGGTTTGACCTCATGTTGAGCAAAAGATTCCTGCATTGCAGGGGACTGGACTAAATGGCCCTTGTGGTCCCTTCACTCTACAAATCTATGAATTCACATATTCTCCTTTCCTTCTTTTTGAAGAGAGGAGTTATTTTGCAACTTTGATGTCCATATGCCCATGTCTTGTCATGTTACTGATATGCTGTCATCCATTTTTCATCTCATTTACTTGCGACTACAATGCTTTCTATGGGCTGCTTTATCTGAAGATGGTTCAAAAGTTTCAGTTGCCACTCAGCAATAGCAAAATTTATAGTAAAAGTGTGCAGAAAGTGTATTGCTCCTTTTCTGGCTCTACTGCACTGGCTTTGTATTAGATCCCAAGACCTATTCAAAGTGCTGGTGAGAATTCCTGAAACCCAATTCCTCTCCGCTCTCATGAGTGGGCATTTCCCACTATACCAAAAGCCCTTCTGCTCATGGCAAGAGCACCAACTGAAAATCATGAAAAATGCTAGAATATGATTATGAACATTGGAAGGGTTGGAAGGGATCCTAAGGGTCATCTAGTCCAACCCCAGTGAAGACTAATAATTATGAGTTGTTCCCTCCCCCATTCTGGTGTATTATTATGAATCACCTTAACAGATCTGTCCTTCACAATTAATAACCTACCTTAATACTTGTGATTTCCTGTAGTATTACAGGAAATACCTCTATTTTATGTGTATGCATCATTAAATATAGCCCTATTCAAGTTCTTTATTAACATCCAAGGGCAAGAAATGTGTAGAGGGCACGTGTTCCTCTGAACTAGTGCAATGAGATTTCCCCCTCTCCTCTCCTTTGTGGTCCCATAATCACTCTGGGGTTGGGGGAACCCCAGAATAGATTTTGGGGGAGGCGTCGGGGGGAGTGTTGTGTTGTGTAAGGAGAAATCCTTGTAGTACTGACAAAACATTTTGCTTAGCACTACACTGAACACAGCCCTATATTGCTAACTTTACTAGCAATATTAATATTCCAATGTTATTAATATATGTATCAATACATTTTACACACTTTTTTTAGTTTTTGCAATTAATTAAATTGCACTTAAAAATCTTAACATTGCTCTATTCCTGCTATTTAATTGAGATGCTACCCTGTTTCAGGACTCTGGACTGAGAATATGGAATATAAACTGAAAAACGAAAAACCTCCCTACCACCTGTCTGCAGGCCAATCAAAGAAGTACCACAGATATCAATAGGACTGTGGACATTACTATGCACTGGATTGCAAGTCATTAAAGAACTATGAAGGTTCACCTAATTGAACCACAGAAAACAGTTGACAGTTAAAAGATCTACCTGCTCCTGGAATCAAAGGTTCGAGGTTTGTTTGTTTTTTAATGCATCTAAGTCTTAAAAAGTTAAGATGCTACAGAGGCTAGAAAAATATATTGCATAGTTTCAAAATTATAGAACAATTACCTATTGGGTTAAACACATGCACTTTCATGCCAGTAGGCAGCTTTTTTTCGCCTAAGTGGATATTTTCTATCTTCTGGTCAGTGGTGTTAGCCAAAGTCACTTGGACAGATACCATCTGATCATTGTAAACGCATGGCTGTCTTGAGAAGTGATAATGAGCTGCTAATCCTTTCCCACTCATTCGGTGCAGGAGTTCATGAGTTCTGGTTGGCACAAAGGCTGGAACACTGACCTATTGCATAGGAAAAATTAAAAGTTAGTAAATACAGACTATCAAGTTCTTGCATGGGTTAAAAAAAAAGATGCACGAAATCAATATTACATTCTATGCATATCTAAAATGCAAGGATTAGACTGCATATTGCTTTCAGGTGAAAACCTGTAAGGAAATAATCAAAGCAACATGTGGGGGGAAAAGGAATTTGATAACATTAAAATCTACAGAGGGAAACAGAAAGGAAGAAATGGGGATGAGCTCACTGGTATTCTTTTTATGCATAAAGTCTAAGTTTCAATTCTTGGTATCTCCGGTTAAAAGTGAACTCATGTAGTAGGTTCAAGAAAGATCCTCTGTCCAACACCTTGAGAAACTACTGCTGGTCATAGCAGATGATACTGGAACAGATGGACCAATTCTGCAGTATAGTACAAGCCAGCTTGTACATATGCAGTCAGCCATATATCACCAGAGCATTAGCTAATTTTTTTAAACTGTCTTTCACATAATGAAAACACACAAACCAGAAATCCTGCCTCTTCCCCCAGAGTTCCTTATCTACAAAGCAGGAAGTGTTAACAGCGGTATTTTTAGATTCTAAATATTTTAAATTTATAAGATACACACCAAAGAAAAGGACAATGATTCTCCACCCATTCATAAAGATGCAGCAATTTGAGATCAGAATTCCAAACCAGAGACCATTCATTTCATTGTTATAATAAAAATATCATGACCATTATTGGTTTTCAAATGTAGCAACTGCTTCCTTAAATATGTACATTCATTGTATGATGCACATCCCTTAATAGAGAGAACATCCCCAGACATCTCTCCCTAGTAGACCTAGGTTTGCAGTAGATCTTACTCTTGGTTGAGTCTAGAAACACAGCCAACAAGAGAGGCAGCCACAGAACTGGTACAACTTGCCACTGCTAACAGGAAAAGGATCAAGTGTCATCTCTGCAGTCACAGAAACAAAAGGAAATTGCAACAAAAATATGCACGGACTGCTTGAGTAGCATTAAGCTGTGTTTGCAAGGTCTGTAAGATTTGTTGTTACATAATGTCCACAGTGTTAATTGCACAAAAAATTGTTCTAGACCCTCTTACCGTGTACATTATGGAATAGGCTTCATTTTTATTATTTATGCATGGAAGGTAGCATGGTTTTGTTACTTGCAAATGGTGCCACTCTGAATACTTTCCAACAGATATTCCATTTGTACAACTTTCTTGGAGTACATTTGACTGCAAATGCACCTCGACCCCTTTTGACCCTGATCCAGTCAAATTTTCCACTGATGGTAGATTAGATTGCTCTGCAAAAACATTTCTATGCTTAGTGCTGTGCAGAAAATAGAGTATTGTGGAGCATAGATAAGGCAGAAGGTGGTAAGCAGTTTTTAAAACTGAGTAGAATTTTTTTATTTGTTTAAATCTTAAGTTTTTCTAATTGACAAATCGTACAATTTGTCTCCCAGTTTCAAAAAAGCTACCTACGTCAAGATTTTTGCAATATGCACATTTAAATTAAATGTATTAATCTTTAGTGCACCGAGGCTACATTTAATCAATTTAACATCAGATCATTAATCATCTGATTTTTAATCTAGCTAAAATAATCCTTATGCATACATATATGTACGATAATTTTTCAGTGATCTTCAGCTGCACATAGGAACAAGCATTCCTCAGCCGGGCACTGGCTTCACTCATGTACATAAACAATATTACATATGGTGGAAGGCGGGGAAGAGGAAGAAACCCATTCAACCTGTAGAACCTTGTTTCATGTTGCTGTTTATGACCACAGCTTGAGTCAGAGCGTGAACATTTGGTACCAACCTCTTTTGCTGAATTTTTACTGTTCTGTTTTGGCTGGAACCATTTTCTTTTATAATTGCATATTATATTGTTGTAATCTGCCCTGCTGCCTTATGGTGAAGGGCGGATAAGAAATCTTACCAAAAAACAAATAAAGACATTTACACCTAACAAGTAGAATTCTTTTTGCTGCTCACCCTCCCCCAAGCTAGACATTATATGTAAGTACACAGGTCAAAAAGTATTTTAACCCGTCAGTTGTCTGAATGAAATAATAAAACACCATTACTGGAGCATGAGCTATACAACTGAAGAAACTCAAAATAGCATCAAGACTGGGTGGAATTGTTTTATGTAGGCTGATTCAATACAAATGTTGTAAATATGT